ACCCATGTGCAGGACCTTGCACTTGGCCTTGTTGAACTTCATGAGGGTCGCATGAACTGCAGCAGCAGAGTGGTTCCTGTGTCTCACTCTCATCCTGTTGGATTCTGGGCTACCACCACGTATTAAACTCATTTTTCAGAGACCTGCAAGTGCAGAAGATGACTTAACTGACACCTACATTCCCAGTGTGTGCTGCTGTGGTTCCTGAGGTCAGGTTGGATAATCCAGAGCTTTGAGACCTCTATTCCTGTTACCCTTCTTTTAAATGGGGGTTGGCAATATTCCCATGCTACTACTGGCTGCATTGTGGGTTTAAAGGATGAGGTCTTTGGAGTTCAGACTGTGTGAGATGGTGTGCTCAGCCAGATGGACTGCTTTTTTCCTCCAAAAATCATCTTGCTTCTGCTGAAGGTGGCAGCAAATATGTATTAATGTATCTAAGCAGACAAACAGCAAAATAGCAACTAAAATTGGTAGTTCAGACATTATTGTTTCAGTAGGAATAAGCTTGTGGTATCTCAGCAGCTTCTGATCTCCAGCTATAGAAGCTTTGTCCTTTTGCCATGTTCTGTGGTCTTTAAGGTAGAGGCCCTGTTGTGACCTCTCAGGCTTCATAAGCATCTATGCTTTGGCTGTGCAAATGCCAAGTGTTTTTAGAACAAATACCCTATAGAGGGCAAATTAAACTCAATGACAAGGATAGACAACTAAGCAGCACGATTTGAATGTGCTTTAACAATATGGATGTGCCTGGAATTTGTGAGGAAGCCTGAGATGGGCAGGAATTTGCTGGAGCATTAGGAGAGGCTTGTGGCATCCGCTGACATGAGTGATGTGGTCTTAGCCTTGGAGAAGGACCTTCAGCTTTTGTAACAGACTGCTGGTGTTGCAGGTGGATTCAAGCCACAACTTGGCAAATCATGAATTTTGAAATTGAATTTTATTTAATTAAAACTAAAAGCTTTTCTAGTCAGAGATAGAGGCCAGTTGGGTTCTGCTTCTACCTTGTCTGTAGCAATCCACAATTCTCCTGCGACCTATAGCACAGGTTAGAGAGAACTCATGCTTTCATTAACCACTGAGATAAACAATACTGTTCAGCTTCAAACTCAAACAGGATGGCAGTTCCTAAAGGGGATTTACATTTGGGTCTGGTGTAACCATGCTGAGGAACATTCTTCTAGCAAAAATAAGCAATTCTTCACAAAGAAAGTGTATTCGTCTGCAGGAGCTCTTGGTGGAAGATGATTTAATGCCAACACATTCTTGTACATAGAATCAGAGCCTGGTTTAGGTTGGAAGGGGCTTTAAAGCTCCTCCAGCTCCAACCCCTGCCACGGGCAGGGACACCTTCCACTAGAGCAGGTTGCTCCAAGCCCCTGTGTCCAACCTGGCCTTGAACACTGCCAGGGATGGGGCAGCCACAGCTTTCTATTGATCTGTTATAGCATGAACCCAGACTTCACTGTGTCTCACAACTACTACATGTCTGATACTGTTGCATTAACTGTATGTTTAGCTTTGTTTTCTAGTATGTAGAATCTTAGAATGGTTTGAGTTGGAAGGAGCTTTAAAAGGTCATCTAGTTCCAACATCTTCATGCATTATGCTATGGAAGGTATTTACGTGACCTCTGCTAACAGCAGTGGGTGTTTTGGTAGTACTTGGTGCATGTAATCACAGCTTGTTTGAGGGACCAGTGCTGTGGATTCCCAAGGTGAGAAAGAGAAACGGGGCCATGAGGATGCTCAGGGGCTGGAGCAGCTCCTGTATGGAGCCAGGCTGAGAACATTGGGGCTGTTCAGCCTGGAGAAGAGAAGGCGCTGGAGACCTCAGAGCAGCTCCCAGTGTCTGAAGGGGGCTACAAGGATGCTGGGGAGGGACCTTCATCAGGGACTGGAGTGATAGGACAAGGGGTGGTGGGTTCAATCTGAAACAGGGGAAGTTCAGGTTGGAGATAAGGCAGAAGCTCTTCCCTGTGAGGGTGCTGAGGCGCTGGCACAGGGTGCCCAGAGAAGCTGTGGCTGCCCCATCCCTGGCAGTGTTCAAGGCCAGGTTGGACACAGGGGCTTGGAGCAACCTGCTCTAGTGGAAGGTGCCCCTGCCCGTGGCAGGGGGTTGGGACTCTGTGATCTTTCCAAAGATCTTTGCCAAACATAACCATTCCATGACTCCATGACACAGATCCTCCTGCTTATCCTTTCACCTGAAATGCAGGTAATTCCATGAGGAGTCTGTAGTAGCAAATAGCCATGTTTAGCTCACGCTGTAGTGTCAAGATGCAGTCTGCAGTGCTAGGGTGCTGTAAGCACAGTGTCAGAGGTCTGTGGTAGAGCAGAGGCTATAACTCGGATTTCTTCATTCCAGGCTTATTTTCTAAGCACTGTTGTCTCTTTCCAGATTCTTTCCTGCATGATACTAAAGCGCTTTGGATGCAATGCAATTAAAACCATCATCTTTTTATGTGAAAACATGATTTAAGACACAACAAAGAATGTTTGGGAGTAGAACGTCACTTTAAGAACACAATATCCCTGGTTTTAGCCACCATGAAGCATGGAACTTCAAGTGATACAAATTTCATGCATTGGAAGAAGCTCCTCTGTCAGTGGAATGAGGAGGGGGGTTCTCATCTCAGCATGTTCTTCAAGCAAGGGGAGAGATGAACCCTCATCCCCTGTCAAAAGTGCAGCTCTTGGTATCTGGGAGGAGGGAGGAGGGTGTGAGGCACCCACGCTGATAGTCTGTGGCATGACAAAGGAAAGAGGATCTCTTCTCATTTCCATGTGGTATCTGTTATGTCCTTCTGCTACTGCCATCTGAAAGTGACAAGAAGTGTTAAACCAGCATAAAACAAAATCCATCACTTGGGTACATTGTCTTCTTGTAGGGTGTTGGACAGATTTTGGCTGTAGTTCCTCTGTCCTCCTGGTAGTTGAATAGAACAAGTGTGTGTGCTCCTGTCCTCCCCTCATGCCGTGTTCCATATGGGAGTACAGATCTGCTTGCTCACTTGGGTTTCCTTTGTTGCTCTTTCTTGGATTGTGATCCCCTGTGAAATGGCTTTTGCTTTTGTTTTAGAGATGGAGTCCTTGAGTAGGTGGTGCAGCCTGTTGCTTTTCTTGGAGGGGAAGGAGTACTCAACTGGAAGTTTGCGGTATGTCTCTTGACATTGAGAGGGAGCATTTCTTGAGTGAAGTCTTTGAGAAGAGCTTTTGCACTGGGGTCTCTACTACTTTCCTAATGGCATTGAGGAGTTCGGAGTAAATCTACCACATACCCTTCTTGTGTCCTCCTTGTTGTTGAAGATTCTCTTAAATAAACCATAAGGAAATGGCTTCCTCTCCATTGTTACTTTTCAGTGATGTACAGTCAGTTCTCACTTACCTTCTAACTCCTGCTGTAGAGGACGAGTGCCAGTTACTGCAAGGAGAGTTGATGTTTTCTTTCTTTCTTGACAGCAGGAGATGCTGTGTTTAATTTGACTCGACCTCATTGTGAACGTAGCAGAGAGCAGCAGCAGTGTTCAGAATCATGGGTTTTGGCTCCTTCCAACTATTGACTTTCTCTACACAAATAGCTTAAGAAATATGGGAAAAACTCAAGAAGTTCTCTCTTATTCCTCACAGGGTGTTTTTTTCCATAGTCGTTTTGTTGGGAAATAATGGCTGTTGTAGTCTTATACTATTTTGATAGTCTTCCAGTGTAGGATTTGTACCATCTCAAGATGGTGCCTCAATTCAGAGGCTTAAATTGTGTGACTTCAGTGAAATAGTAGTCTGCGTGTCTTCATGCTCTACAGGTTGTATTTATAGAGGCATCTTAGTTCCAACAAGTAGATGCTCCAGATGTCTTTGGGAGTTGATTGTTTCATGATGTTTAAGCATATGGTCCAAACCAGTTTGTATGCAGTGATATGTTTATCTATACCTTTAGTTTTTGCTTATTTTCTCATAATTTCCTTAAAGGGATTCAGATATTGTCAGGAGAACTACAGAGTTCTTCTCTCCTGGTTCTTAAGGTTGTGGTACACCAATGTTTAGGTCCTACATGAGCTTTCTCTCAGTAGAATTATACAGTGCTCAGTGTCTATATTGCTGATTTAAATCAGAAACCTCTATGGACCAGACCTACCCCTCAAGGATGAAGAAAGAAGAAAGTTCTGGTTGCTTTTTTTGTCCAAACCAACTTTGAGTGCAACCTACTGTAGGAGAGAAGGTCTTTCTGGCTATTGCTGTCTCCCAGGTCTTTCTGGTAGCACCATGGGTTCATTGCAGGTGTGGGCTTTAGGATCTGAGGGCAGGATGGGTCTTATGAGAAGGGGATGAGGGAGGTGAAGAGAGAGAAAGAGAAGATCACACTGATTCTTGAGTAGAAGTTTGGAGTCACCACAAGAAGCTTTTGTGTTCTTGTGCCAGTTTAATTAAATTTTCAACAGTTTTGCTGGAACCTCAAACTTCATTGAGCTGTATGTGTATATGTATAAAAAATGAAACATCTTGTTTCACATTAAGGTTAAAAAATCTCTGGTGTTACTCAGAGGTTGAAATAAACGAGGGGGGGATAAGGGCCCATGACACTTCTTTACTGTTCTGGGGTGTGTTTGAAAGCAGATTGACCATTGGAAGGCATGGGTAGGCTTCTGATGGATTTCTCTGTGTATGTGTCTATCATAGTGAGTTGGGTTGGAAAGGACCTTAAAGCTCATCCAGTTCCAACCCACTGCCACAGGCAGGAACACCTTCCACTAGAGCAGGTTGCTCCAAGCCCCTGTGTCCAACCTGGCCTTGAACACTTCTTTTCCCTAAACCCTGTAGTGTAGTAAAGAAGCTCTGAAGCACCTGAAAACATGGAAATAATCAAACATAACATTTATGGGGTTTTATATTCTTGAAGTGCATTCTTCTTACTATCACCACCCAGGCACGTTTCCCAGAAGTAAACTTCACTTGAAGTGTACAGAGTTAAGAGTGACTTTGTGGTCAGGGAGTGCATTCTTTATGCAAAGGCTTCCAAAAGATAACTTCAAAATACCCCTATTTCTGTCACCTTTCTTTGTCTGCAGGACTTTATCTACCAGTGATGATGTTGAGGACCGAGAGACTGAGAAAGGCCGCCTGGAAGAAGCTTATGAGAAGTGTGACCGGGATCTGGATGAGCTCATTGTGCAGCACTACACGGAGCTCACCACCGCCATCCGCACCTACCAGAGCATCACGGAGCGCATCACCAACTCGCGCAACAAGATCAAGCAGGTTTGTGTGTGGTTCTGGGTGTGTTCTGGGTATAAATCTGGGCAACTTCTCTTTGTAAAAATCATGGAATCAACCAGGTTGGAAAAGACCTTTAAGCTCATCCAGCCCAACCGTTCCCAGCCCTGCCAAGGCCACCACTAACCCCTGGCACTGAGGCCTCGGCTCCACGGGCTGTGAACACTTGCAGGGACGGTGACTCCAG